AAAGAACCGCCACAGCGAGACAAAGTATGTCCGCCCCTCCTCCTCGGAAGGTCAAGGATTTCGTCTTCCTTCAAGTAAGTAGATTCTCCAGTCATCCGCGCTGACTTTGGCCATTCTTGAAGCAGTAAGACCAAACGGCAGGGCGGGTCGTGACTAACGGCAGCGCTTTGTTTGGGAACAGCAGCCTTCGTAGTACCATCAGGCTGAAGACCAATGACAGCAGCAATTGGTGCCGAGCTGCCGACGCTGGCGAGGGAAGCGTAGAGGCCGCTGCCAGGGACGACACCCTCGCCAGGCAGGACAGAGTACCAGAGCTTCCCAGCAAAGCCGGCAGCGCCGACCCCGACCCCCGCGCGTTACCCGCCACCACCGCGAGCACCGCATCGACGAGGCGTTGGATGAGCTCCATACACTGGAGCGGGCGCGGCCACAGGACCGATCGGCGATTGACAAGGCGAGACGGCGCGTCGGACGTGTCCGCGGGGCCATCAACCAACACCTGCTGCGCCACCGGTTTGACACCGACGAGAAGGCGTGCGTGGCGGACATCTTAGAGAAAGCGCACGCGGCGCGAGCGGCACGCACGGCACAGGCGGCGGGCGCAGCAACGTCTACAAGAGGAGCAGCGACAGCACCAACACAGCAAGCAGCCACGTCAGCCCTTGGTGATGCCGACGACGGAACCTGCCCCATCCTGGCCGACGAGCTCTGGCAGTACTTCACCGGGACCAACACGCCGCGCTGGGAGTTCAACCCCGCGACACCCGTCGGCGAGGCGTTCCGTACGGCGATGGCAAGGCTTCCTCCGGCGACGAGGCTCCGCGAACTGCTGACAGAAGCCCCGACTGCGGACGAAATCGAGACCCAGCTACAGCACGTGCGGGGATCCTCGAGCCCAGGACTCGATGGCATCGGCTACGACGTCTACCAGCGCTTCGCACAGCAACTGCTCCCGGTGCTCACCGCTTCGCTCAAGCGATGCTGGACAGCCAAGATGGTGCCACAGAGCTGGCAGGTGGGGGTCGTGCGACTGCTGTATAAGAAGGGCGCGCATGACGACCCGGCAAACTGGCGGCCCATTTGCCTCCAGCAAGCCATCTACAAGCTTTACACAGGTGTACTTGCTCGGCGACTCGTGCGGTGGCTGGACGTGAACGACAGGCACGCACCAGGACAGAAGGGGTTCAGGGCAGTGAACGGCTGCGGGGAGCACAACTTCCTCGCAGCCACGCTCATCGACCAAGCACGTCGCAAGCGCCGACCCCTATACGAGGTATGGTACGACTTCAGGAACGCCTTCGGCAGCGTGCCATTTCAGCTGCTGTGGGACTCGCTGCAGCGCCTCGGCGCTCCCGCAGACTTCATCGACATGTGCAAGGGCTGTACCACCAGGCCGCCTTCGTCATCGGGAACGCCGCCGACGGACCGACAGCAGCAATCCGGCAGCAGGGTGGCGTCTTCCAAGGGTGCCCACTGAGCCCCCAGCTCTTCAACGTCGCGATCAGCCGCTGCTCTTCGCGCTCCGCAGGCTGCCGGAGACCGGGGTGCAGCTGTCCGGCGACGATCGTGTTGGAGTTTCGGCTTATGCGGACGACCTCAAGACCTTCAGCAGCACCAAGGCGGGCGCCACCAAGCAGCACGAGCTCGTCGCCGCGTTCCTGGCTTGGACTGGCATGAAAGCCAACGCAGCCAAGTGCAGCAGCATGGGCGTACGGCGCAACAGCAACGGCGCGACAGAGGCGGACAATCTGGACCTCGCGCTCGACGGCACTCCGATCCCCAGCATGACTCACATGCAATCGTACACCTACCTGGGGATCGGAGACGGTTTCGACCATGTGCACCGCCGCATCGAGCTCGCGCCCAAGCTGAAGACGCTCAAGCAGGACACGACGGCGCTACTCGAGTCCGGCCTCGCGCCTTGGCAGGTGGTGAAGGCCGTGAAGGTTTACCTTTACCCTCGTGTCGAGTACGCGCTTCGGCATCTGAGACCCGAAGACCAGCTGCTGGAGAGCTTCGACCTTCACCTCCGCGCCGGCCTCCGCCACCTGCTCCGCCTGCCCAAGAACGCCAACAACGACTTCTTCTACTCGCCGGTCTCGCGCGGTGGCGTGGGACTCCTGCCGCTGGTAGGGGGCTGCACCAACACCTCCGTAGCGACCGCAGCGCCTACAGCTTCCGCAGCACCCTCGACCCCAACCCGGCCTCCTGCAACTACGGCCGCTCCGTTTCACAGCGACCAAGGCCACATCGACGAGGACGACGAACGTCGTGCCGACATCGACGACGGTGAAATCTACGCCCCAATGACGCTCGGGCCAGACGAAGTGCCTGCTCGGCGACCGCGCCTCCGACTCCGCCAACTCAGCGACGAAGAACTCGAGGCCGCTGGTGCCATCGTGGAAAGGCTCAGCGCATCGTTGTCAGCCAAGATCACCGACGCAGAAGACTGGGGGACGGCAGAAGGCTACATTACGGCCCTGCCTCACCTGCTGTGCGACAAGCTCCTACCGTACTCGCGGACAGCGCCCCGTCATCAGCGGCCACCCCGGCCATCGCGCAACCAGCAAGACCACCCGCAGCCGCGACGCGACCAACCGCAGCGCAACGTGGACGAGCAGCAGCATGCGGAGTCACAGCAGGGTGAAGACCAGCGACAGCAGCAGCCGCCGACGCGCCGCCGACGTCGGCGAGGGAAGCGTAGAGGCCGCCGACAGCGACGACACCCTCGCCAGCCAGGACAGAGTACCAGAGCCTCCCAGCAAAGCCGGCAGCGCCGACCCCGACCCCCGCGCGTTACCCGCCACCACCGCGAGCACCGCATCGACGAGGCGTTGGATGAGCTCCATACACTGGAGCGGGCGCGGCCACAGGACCGATCGGCGATTGACAAGGCGAGACGGCGCGTCGG